TCTTTCTCTCTGAGAGTTTATGAACTTTCATCTCTACTTCTTTCTCTGCTTCTCCATAAAAATAGCTGCCCAACCCTTGCCTCATGATACCATTCAAGAGCAATAGAAAACAGCTAGGGCCTCAGAAGCCCAAAGTCCCCAGAGAGGGCCTCTGATTGGCCCAGGTTGGACAAGGGCTCACTGCTAGTCCATCCTGGAAAGGAGATGACAAGATGAGGTCTCTTCTACTCAGTAACTCTGTTTTAAGGAGACTGTTACAGAAAGGAGCCTGGGCAGAACTGTGAGTGCTGGGCAGCTTTTGGAGAGTGGAAGACATTCCTGACATGCATTCCAAGTTGTGTCTTCTAAAGATAACCATAAAAAATGTTATTTAAAAAATATGTTTGGAATAAAGTAAAGAAAAGGCAGGGTAGGCAGATTATTGGAGCAAATTACATGATTTTCACATGAGAGAAAACAGATATGTGAAATACATTTTTTGTTTCTTAGCTCTCTGCAGGAGTGATCTCCATATTGAAAGTTTTATAGCCATCATGCTAAGAGGGAATTAAATTTAAATATAATGAGCACAGAATAAGAAAGTACTCGAGTCGTGCGTTAAACTTGTTGAGACCTTTAAAGCCTCTCATAGGACTAGATATCGAGGGACTTGCCAGATGACTGTGAGAGGAAGCGCCGTCAGTAATCCAGAGGGATTGTGGGGAAGAGGAGAGGTTTTAGGAAACTGGAGGTGGGGAAATGTTACCTTGTACTTTCCAAAGGGGAAAGAGAATGTCTGGTTCTGGAAACTTGATGTTGATGCACTGTTTAGATTCCAGGAAGGATCACCTATACATACTGAAGTAGCAGTCACTCTGTGCCAGCATAGGTCTAGGAAAAGGAGTCAAACCAAACTAAGTAACTAAGAAAAGACATGAGCTTTACACTAGTGGACCAGGAGACTGTGTGATGCCTAACACACTTCGATGCAGCAGCATATCTAAGTAAAGTCTTCAGATCCCTGCAGTCAGGTAAAGAAATGCAGTCAGCGATAGTGCAGTGAGATGAAGTTGGTGAGTGGAGTAATAGCAGCCTCTCAAGGATTACACATAGCTTTAAAGAACTATATTTGATCTCATATTCGTTTACATAAACAGTAGATACAGAGATAGCAATCTTACTAATCCAATTTTCAACACAGAAAAATGGGGAGTGATGTTATAATTGACAGAATTATCAAAAGAGCAAAACCTGCTAGACATACATCTAAACTAACAATACATGTAAACATGGTATTGTTTGCTGAGTTCAACTGAAAAATAAAAAACAAGAAACATTGGGCGTCACAGTAATTTGGGGAGAAAAGTTCCAGGAAACTTGTGAGCCAGCAATATGATGTGGTTGCAAAAAATAAAAAAAAACATATAGTGCCAATGTAATTTTAAATTATATATTCAAAGGATTATATCCAGACTAAGGATTGTAATACTTACCTATTTGGCAATATTATGAATTACTATAATAACTTTTCTGGGAAATACATTGACAAAATGGAACACATCCAGATGATCAGGAAGTTTAATTTATAAATTTATTTGATGCTCAGATTCTTTAATTTGTTGTGTGTAATGGACTCTGAGGAATAAAATCTCCCATAGCGAGTTTTCAAGGAGTTTACTTGGTATCATTCCAGTCAAAGTACATAGGAACTGCTACTTGGGTAAAAACCACTCCCCTCAATCTGTTTACCTTGAATGATGGGTTTAACGTTGAAAATATATATTGACTTTTGAATGCCAAATTAAATTTTATATTCTATATTATTAATTTGTTCATTGGGTGCAGCACTGCTTCATGTAAATTATAAGTATTTTCCCACTCCCTTTTATAATGGGAATGGGTAAAAGTGGTTTTACATGGACACAGGAAAGATTCTCAACTTATTTAAAAATAAAATTGTGTATTATAGTTGTTGTTATTTTTTAAATCAGTGTTTCCCAAATTTTGAGAAACTGTTTCCTATCCCTAAAGAATATTCCCTATTATACAATGCAAAATTAAAGGGAGAAAATCCCAAATGACTCTATTTATTGAGACTCTCAGGAGTAAGGGAGTAAGATACAACCTTTAAAAGGGGTAAGATGAGTAACTTCAACACACAAATACATAAGTGTGTACACAAATACACTCACACATTACTGTAGATTAATGATAGTACATATGGGTTTCAGGAACTTGCAGCCTAAAAATGTAGTTTTTCATAGTCTGCTGAATTAATGTATGTGTTTATAAAGACCAAATACAGCCAAAACCAGTTTGGCTCAGTGGATAAAGCGTTGGCCTGTGGACTGAAAGGTCCCGGGTTCAATTCCAGTCAAGGGCATGTACCTTGGTTGCGTGCACACCCCCAGTAGGGGGTGTGCAAGAGGCAGCTGATCAATGATTCTCTTTCATTGATATTTCTAACTCTCTCTTCCTCTCTGTAAAAAAATCAATAAAATATATATTTTTAAAAAGTTTGTACCGCCGGGACCAGTTTGGCTCAATGGGTAGAGCGTCGGCTTGGGGACTGAAAGGTCCTGGGTTCGATTCCGGTCAAGGGCATATCCCCAGTAGTGGGTGTGCAAGAGGCAGCTGATCGATGACTCTCTCTCATCGATGTTTCTAACTCTTTATCTCTTTCCCTTCCTCTCTGTACAAAATCAATAAAATATTTTTTTAAAAAAAAAAGTTTGAACCAAAACCCATTCATTTAAGTGTGACCTTCTATTCTCAGTTGTTCTTGAAGGAAGACCAATTCTATGCCAATAATATGTGACAAATGATGCAAAATAGGGGGTTTTACCTCAATATTATGAGTGCTTCTTTCCATACTAAGCCTTAACATCATGGTTTTGTTTATTATAAGCTCTACTCTGTGTTCTACCCAATGGCCTCATCTCTACAGAAAATCAGGAAAATGTTGCCTGAGGCTCCATGTGGGTTAGTTTGTTGGTGGAGTGGGGATTAATATCCCTATCCATCTAAAAGTCAGACATACCTTGGTCTGCCCAAGTTAGTGTCTCTCCAGAAACTATCTTCTTTCAAGATCTGCATTCCTCCACTTCTGTATTTTTATGGGTATAGCTAGTATTTTTTTCTTTTTCTCTTATTCATGTTTAACAAGATTTCTTATAAACTTACTATAGCTTTTGTTTATTTCCTGGCTTCAGGACTTACTAGCTGTGTGTTCTTAGGCAAGTCATTGATCTCTGAGTCTCAATTTCCTCATCTGTAAAATGGGAGATTAATAGCACAAAACTCAGAGTGGTGGTGGTAGATTACATAAGTTAATAAAAGTAAAGCAAATAGAATAGTGCCTGGCACATAATAAAAATAATGCTGTTATACAGCACATGCCTTCCTGGTAATTTTTTCCTCCTTATATCTATTTTTCATAGTTTAATTATACCATCTGAAGTTATAAATCTTCCATCTATGTATTTCAAAGTTCTCATAATTTCTGAATCAAATGCATACAAGTCATTCTTGTGTTTTCATCTTTTCCTCCCCACTCCCTTCCCACTTCTTTGGACTTGGTACTTTTTTTTTTATCATCCTTTTGGTTTCACCCTCTAGCACTAGCTCCAGCCTTCCTTCTTGAGGCCAAGTAGGGTTTTCCCACCAACACAGTCAGGGGAATTTTTGCTTCGGGTCTTGGGGAGGGGTGAGGGGTGGAGGGCCTCATAGGAGCCAGACCTAGAGTGTCTTCCTTGAAGCTCTGGCTCCAGTGCCCAGCTCTGATCATGGGCATAATAGGCACTTACTACTCACTCATTCAGTGGAAAGATGCAGATGATTACCAGACAGTCTGCATTTCTGAAAAAACAGCCTCTGTGAACACAGTTTAGAACAATCATGAAAGGTAACAATCACCTGGAGAAAAGGTTATCTCCCTGTACTTTGGACCAGGCCCTATGTTCGATAACAATTGCTGTTCTAAATGCTGGAATGGGTTATCAGGCTGATAAAGTGAATTATTGCTTTTATGGCTTTAAATTTAATCTTGGGATCAAGCTTATTTATGGTTCACGGAGAGCTTTGGGGGAGGGAGGAAGAGCGAAAAGCTTTTGCTTCCACTTATCAAGGAGAGGGTCATAGGCTTCAAATGCTAATCCTAAAAGTTAACTCCTGCAGAAAGAACATGGGTCTCAAATCCTTCTTGTTAGTCTGTCTTGTTTTTACTATCTTGTTCTTTCCCCCATAACCAAACTAAATATATATAGGATGTGGGTATACCTATACATCAGATATACATACACACAGAGACACACACAGATATTTATGTGTAAATGCATTCACACTTCTGTGAAACTCACTGAGCCTTCCTTAGCTCCTTGAGTCTATCAGTCCTGTTTTGAGTTTCCTTCCAACTAGAAAAAGGTTTCTGGCAACTTTAATCCTGTTACAGTTTTAAATAGTTCTGTGTCAATAGCTAGAGATCCTCTTTAGCCAATCTATAACTGTAAACAATACAAGATCTCTGCTATTCATTCATGTTAATTTTTGCTACATGCCACGGTTCAGCCTTAAAAATTTTTTTCTTAATAGTTTAGTCATATTAGAATAGGATAGCCTTTCGAACACAGTTATATAGTGGTTTATTCTTAGGAAGTGAAGTAAATGCCTTGCACCAGAAGCTCAAGTTTTAAAAAGGAAAATAAACTGAGTTCTAAGTCATGTTGTCTAAAACTACAACAAAAATCCCTTATATCTGTAAGTATTATTTTATGCATCCCAGCTAAGGAGTATAAATTCACAAATTACTTGTCTAGGAAGTAGCTTTGTCTATGAATAATTTCATCTTATAGCAGCTTCTCTCTTTTATCTTGTGTTCCTATAAAATGTAAAAGGTTGTATTTTATTCACTTACCTTAGTTAAGTCAGTCATACTTCTTCCAATCAGAAAACATAATGATAAGTTTGGATCCAAGCATTATAAGTTATTGCTATATAAATATGATGAAATGTCTCTTTTGCAGGTGCAAGTATTGGCATTACGATGAAAACCTGCTCGTTTCCAGCGTTGTCATTGTCTTCCATAATGAAGGCTGGTCAACTCTCATGAGAACAGTCCACAGTGTCATTAAAAGGACTCCGAGGAAATATTTAGCAGAAATTGTATTAATTGATGATTTCAGCAATAAAGGTAATGGCTATGGAATTGACATTTTGTCCATAAAATAAGTTAATTATGAGTAATTGCAAAAAACATGTGATTTCACAATAATTAGTCTTTAAAAAGTAATAGCATCTACTGATAGCATCTATTTTCAACAGGTGGGCACTATATCAAGCATTGTGCAATGATTATTTTGTTTAATCCTGATCGTAACCTTTGCAGTGGATATTGTTATCTTCATTTTACACATGAGGCTCAGAAATGTTAAGTAACTTAGCAACAGTCACATGCTATTCCTGTCTCAATAATGAATAGCTGTAGTCAAATCTACAGGCTCTAAGTCTGTGTATTCAACCACCTTCTTACTCTATTCCAATTCTTTGGGCCTTGGATTGTACAAAAGTTTGTCATAGAAGTAATTTATTGAAAGACTGAAAAAAATGTAATTGCACATATACTGTAATGCCACCTGGTACTCCAACCATAGTTGTCCAACTAAAATCCATATACCTATTTAATAGCCTATAATTTGCATTTTAACAATACAATATTGAATTTAACCAGAAACCATGGGCTATTTTTATTTATAATAGACAGTATCCACTAAAATTTATTTTGCTTTATATTTGATTTAGTATATTGAATAAAGGGAAATTGGTTGGGTTTTTTTTTTATTATTATAGCATTTAGGGAGGCATTGGTTAGTCTTGGTTCATCTTGGCAAGAGAACGAGATTAAGCATTGATTTTTCCCAATAAGTAGGTTTAAGTTAAAATGGTTTTTCTTTAAATAAATTACTGTAAGCAGAATATATCTTCCTAATGACATGAGTATCAAAAAAATAGATACTGCTACAGCTCAGACCCCAGAGTGGCATCCTAAATAACAAGGTGGTTGTGCTGCTGAAACCCAGATCTGGGCAGTTATTCTCTTTTGCTTGTCACAAAACTGAATTGGGTCCTTTGAAATTTCATCAAAGAACTCAGGCTAAGTAACAATAGGATATTTGTTTTATGGCAAGTAAGTTTTGCCAACAATTTTTGTGTACAATTAGTAATACCACTGACTATATGTCAGAAGACAGAACATGGGTAGCATGAAAATAACATTCAACATGGCTTTACAAAAGCATCCTCCAAAACTTCGTGTAGAGCTCCTATTGTCTGAATAAACCTCTACTATTTATACGAGGATGTGACCAGATTTTGATCTTGTACACATATGCTAGGGTGGAGAAGAAATAGAAATATGGCCTATTTCCTTTCCCCCTCATTTTTGTTCAGCTGATCACTTTTCATCCACTCGTTTTTAATTATACTAGAGAATGTATAACTTGCACTTTTTTAGTCATCAAATGCCTTTAGCTTAGACATCTTACCTTGGTTGCAATTTTTATGACAGGAATGTAGTCATTAAAAATACTTTTATGTATTTGCCTCAAGATAAATACAGGGTGAGGCAAAAAGTAGATTTACAGTCGTTCTAATGGAAAATAATACAGTAATTAATAATTATAGTAGAATTAACTCACTTACTCACAACTGTAAACCTACTTTTGCCTACCCTGTATTTAAAAATACGTTTTACTGTGATATTGTTGGTACCAATAATATTTTAGATTTTGAAAAACTTAAATCTAGAAAAATTACTGAGAAATCCCCTGTCTGTGATTGTTCTTGTTTTTAACAAGTTCTGTATTATTAACACAAGTAATATCTTAGCATATTATTTTTTAAAAAATTGTGACAATATACCAGAAAAGGAGAATAAAATTTTGGGTTTAAGTTTTTTTAGTCCATTCTACTTAAATTTTTTTGTGATCAGAGCTTCTGTTAATACAAACCTCTAATATTTATAAAGTCCATCATAGGGCAGGGTCTGCTTAGCTTATAGCAGTAGCAAGTACAGAGGTACAGAAGGCTTTAACTAATTTTCCCAATTTCGAAACAACCTTAAAATCTGTCAGTCCCCTCCTCAGTAAAAGTATATAGGCTTTGGTAAATCTGACTGGAGTGAAAATTGGTTCATTCTTTCCCCCAATAAATTCAGAAACTAGAACTTTGAGTTAGCAGTTTTCTTATTTTAAAGACAACGTATTTTACCAATATAAAACTTCACAAAGGAACAGGCTGCTCATAGCACTTGGGTTTCTGGAAATCAGAGTATTCTCTTAAAATAAGGTTTGGGGCCTTTAAATAGAGCACACCCCTGTACACATGTGCATCAGCCAGCTGAGACTGAGTGGGGTCAAAGCAAAATGCACCCCACACTCCCAGTGGCTTGTAACAACAAAGAGTTACGGTGCTGTTCTCTTGCTCTTACATTCCCTGCAGGTCAGCCCTGGTCTGCCCCACGTGGTCACCGCAGGGCCCGGGCTGGCAGAGCAGCCTGATCTCAGGCACTGCCTGCCTAAGGACAGGGAACAGAGAGACACGGTGAAGCGCTAGTGGGGTTTTAACAGTTCCACTCACAAGCACCTCAAGTCATGTTCAGCCCCTTCTCATTGGCCACAGCAAAGTGCATGGCCCAGCCTGACATCAGCGGGTTGGGGAGGACAATCACTTCCGAAGGAAAGGGGCAAACACTTTAAACACTAATAGAGTACAGGCTGCCTTAGCCTAAGATCCCAAAGAAGCCGGAAGTCATTTCGTTCCCTCTGGGGCCATCTTTCTACACATTTAAATTTGAAGAACACACCATCCACTTGGTTTTGGCTGTAAAACATTGTCACAGATTTATTTAGATAAAAGCGCCTAAAGCAATTCAGAAGGGCCTTAAAAAACAACAACTGTACTGGGCTTTAAAAAATAAATAAATAAAAGGAAGTTTTAAAAAAAAAAAGTTCAAGTTGAAGGGAAAATTACTTAGATTTTTCTGGAGGAAAAAATATAGTTCAGCAGCATGAGAATTTTGTTTATAATTGTCATTAAAAGTGGATGGCAAAATAGAAAAAGGGAAATGTTTTTCTCCTCAATTTTGAATATCCATGTGTGGGTGTCTTGGTAATTATAAGTCCTCTAAAAATGAGTAAAGTAGTAAGTATAATCTGATTTGCCATTTAGCCACTAGCTCATCACTAATTACAGCTATGTTTTCATCTGTTTTTGTATCCATGGGCTCAAAGTTTAAACAATTTAAAAATAATTTTTGGGTCTACAAGAACTATCTCTAAGGGTACAAGAGCTAGTTGTGGCTGAGATGAGCCAATTTCATGGGCTCACAGTGATGCAAACAAAAAGTGTTCTCTTGCACCTGGGAAGCCAAAATGGAAACTTAGGCAAATGTATCTTGTTTTTATAACACAAAATTTTCTCTATCAAAATGAAAATATTTATTGTTTATTTATCATGTATAAATATTATGTTATATAAATGTGTATATACTTATTTGTAAATATACATACATTCATACATAAATATTCCTGTTGATGCTTAAAATGCAGAAAATAGGGTCTCTCGATTGTTTTTTACCAACTTGATGGGAACTATATTCATTACACCAAGACTACAACCTTAGCCGAAACTGGTTAGAGCATCATTTTCTGCGGACTGAAAGGTCCCAGGTTCGATTCCGCTCAAGGGCATGTACATTGGTTGTGGGCACATCCCTGGTGGGGGGGGGGGTGCAGGAGGCAGCTGGTTGATGTTTCTCTCTCAAAGATGTTTCTAGCTCTCTATCCCCTCTCCCTTCCTCTCTGTGAAAAATCAATAAAATATATAAAATAAAATAAAATAAAATAAAATAAAATAAAATAGATACGGATTATACTTGGAGAAAAATGGTCCAGAAACAAATGTTTACCTACATCCTTTGTGGATTACTTTGAAGTCACACAATATTATTTATAAGCAGTGTATCTCAGACATCCTGAACTATTGCTACTGCCAAAAGCAAATAAAATATCATGCCTGAAAGCTTTCAAATATGACATTAACATGTGAATTTTTGAGTTTTTAATTAAAATTTTTTAAGTTTTTGTGTTAATTGACATAGTTATAATTTATTTTATTTTCAGAGAGATGTTTGATCTTTCTCATGCTAATCAGTTCTCTGAAGGCATGTTAAGTTCAAAATTTTTTTTAATTTTTAAAAATATGTTTTATTGGCTGGGACTGGTTTGGATCAATGGATAGAGCGTCGGCTTGGGGACTGAAGGGCCCCGGGTTCGATTCCGGTCAAGGGCATGTATCTTGGTTGCGGGCATATCCCCAGTAGGGGGTGTGCAAGAAGCTGCTGATCGATGACACTCTCTCTCGTTGATGTTTCTAACTCTCTTATCTCTCTCCCTTCCTCTCTGTACAAAAATCAATAAAATATATATTTTTAAATATGTTTTATTGATTTATAGAGAGGAAGGGCGGGAGGGGGGGAGAGGGAGAAACATCAGTCACATCAATGGGCTGCCTACCTCCTGCATGTCCCCTCCTGGGGATTGAGTTTACAACCCAGGCTTGTGCCTTGATGGCCTTCTGGTGCATGGGACGATGTCAACCAATTGAGCCACACTGACCAGCATGTAGTAAGCTCAAAATCTAACTCAAATTCTACCTCCACCTAATTTCCCTAGAGATTAAACATTTAATCTGGTCTGTGTAAAATCATTGAGTGCCAAAGTACTTTTGCCTGTCTCTATTTCTTGAGAAAAATAATATTATAGTTTAATTGGTTTAGATACATACATATAATTTATAATGCTGTTTGAATTTTTTATTCACAGAACACTTAAAAAAACAACTGGATGACTATATTAAGCAGTGGAATGGCCTAGTAAAGGTATTTCGAAATGAGAGAAGAGAAGGTTTAATTCAAGCACGAAGTATTGGTGCCCAGAAGGCTAAACTTGGGCAGGTAGGAAATAGTTCTTATTATTGATATTTACAATGTCATCATTTTGGATTTGGTAACTAAACAATCATATTTGTTGTAAGTACTTTTTAAAAAAACAAAAATGCTGGCCTAAACAGATAAAACTTATACTAGTATGTTAAAAAATGACTCTAATGCTAGCTTATGTTGGTATCTAACTTTAAATTGTATGTGATATATGATGTGCCATATATGAGAGTTCTTCACCCTGCCTCTCTTTTTTTAAGGTTTTGATATACCTTGATGCCCACTGTGAGGTGGCAGTTAACTGGTATGCACCACTTGTAGCTCCCATTTCTAAGGACAGGTAACATCACCTTGCTTTTTTGCTTTCCTGGTTGAAAAGTAAACCTCATCCTAAGACAGATAACATTCTCATTCTTCTGATTTCAGTTCCAGTCAACAGATAAAGTGTTCTGTTCCGAGTGTTATCACTCAGCCAGTTGTTTCCCAGGGTGGAGTTAGACTAACATTTGGGCTGATTCAGATGCAGGCAGTTGGGTGTTTGGGATAAGCCTTGGGCCATAGTCGGCAAACTGCATCTCGAGAGCCACATGTGGCTCTTGGGCCCCTTGAGTGTGGCTTTTCCACAAAATACCACGGCCTGGGCGAGTCTATTTTGAAGAAGTGGCATTAGAAGAAGTTTAAGATAAAAAATTTTGGCTCTCAAAAGAAATTTCAATCATTGTGCTGGTGATATTTGGCTCTGTTGACTAATGAGTTTGCTGACCACTGGCCTAGGGTGTCTGATTCAAGAATCATCTATGGTTGAGAAACTGCCTCTAGCTCCACAAGCTTTCTCTAAGAGTAATATTGATTGCTCCCTATACACCATGGTAACGATTCTAAAGATTTGAAGGAACAGGCTTTGAAATTATATTTATTGGTTTTTTAATTATTACTCACGATAGTAAGGAGCAGTTTTACTTGTGTCAAGGCTTTGGGATCCTATAGAAACTTTAGGATCCTATAGAAAGTTTAGAAATGGGCAGCTATTCAATGGCAATGTGCTGATCCCCATCAAATTTACAGAAATATCTGAAACAACCTCCTGGTTCCAAAAGCCTTCCCTGCCTTTAGTCCAGAATTGTCACTACTTTAGGCAAATAAGACATGGCCCTATGGCAAATGGCATGGCTCAAAGGAGCCCTCTGGAGGACTGACTCATCAGAAGAGGTAATGTAAGGCCTATTCTAAACAACTAGAGGCCTGCTGCACATATTTGTGCACGAGTGAGGCCTCTCGGTCTGGCCTGCACCCTCTCGCAGTCCAACGTTCCCCAAGGGGTGTACAGTGCCAAGCGGCAGGTGGCTGGGGAAGAGCCTGAGCCTGGGGCCTGGCCCCTGCGCTGCTTCTGCTCATCCTGGCCCTGCTGCGCCTTTCACCACTGCCACTGCTCAGTAGCACTGCTGCTAAGGCAGGAGAGGTTCCCACCACTGCAGCTGCACTCTCCAGCTGTGAGCCTGGCTTCTGGCTGAGCAGGGAGCTCACTGACCACCAGGAGTAGCACTGAGCATCTGCCCCCTAATGATCTGTGTGCTTCATAGCAACCAGTTGTTCAGTGGACCATAACACTCTCTTAGGCTATTATATATGTAGATTTTTCCATTTTTAGACCAGCTGTCTGGTTTAATCCTCACAGCACCCGTGCAGAATAGGTATTATTAGCTCCATTTACTGAAGAGGATACTGAGGCTTAGAGAAGTTAATTAATTTGTCCCAAATCAGATAGCTGCTAATCAACTGTCAAACTGAGACCTCTCTGGGACATCTTACACAGCACCATTTATTAAGAAATTTGAGACTCAAGAGAAGTGAGGAAAGAAAACCAACCTTAACCTCTCCAGGTGGAAACTAGCAGTCCTCTGGGGCAGTCAGGAAGTGATTTTCCACAGGATTTTGTGGCAATGCCACGGATCCCAGAGTGACCCTCCACCATCTCATAGGAGTGACTCCAGAGGGAATAACACACCCTCTCAAATCCACTTCCACCATATCAAAATTTTCAGCACCTAATGTTTTTCCCTTCTTGGTTTCTAAACATTGAAAAAGCACTTAATGTCCATTTTAGGAAATGCATTTTAAATCCTCTGATAAAATGAGCAATGGAAACTTAGAGTTGTAGAGTTGACTCTGCACCAAGTTATATAGTAGTAGCATTTTCCTAAAGTCAAACGCAAGGTGTGTTTTTTTACTTCACATTCTTGGGCCACACTTAAATTCTTTAGGTTTTGAGGGTTCTTTTTTTCCTTATTTTTTTTAAAGGGTAGGAATACAATACAGTATTCTTTTTTTCTCTCTTTGCAATGAAAACTGTTTGTTGCAATAAAAAGAAGTAGGACAAAAAGATCAAGAAAAAGTACCGAAACAGGTTTTCACAACTACTTCTAAGAAATAGAAAGCAACAAAGGATAGGGAGAACTGCTAAAAATGGAGCAGTATTATCCTTTTATACAGACACATACACACACACATGCACACACACACTTAATGGAGGATTATGGAGGAAAAGTAACAGGCAGGAAAATCTTGTGAGCAATACAAAATTATGAAGGAAAAATTGCCTATAGGACCAAGGTGAAAATGAGACAACACTATTAAGCTAAAAGACATGGCTCTTTGTCCCTGACATTTGTCTGTAAGCTGAGGGATAAGTCTCCTTCTTCTATCCTTCCCTTATGAAAACGGGCTCTTTGACTTTTATAGGCCATTCATTTACTTTACTTTAAGTCCCCTAGTGCAAAAAACAGACAAACAGACAAAAAAAAAAAAAAAAAAAAAAAAAAAAATCAGTGACAAAAGAGATAATTTATCTAGGCATGCTAAACTAGTGAGTTTTGGGTTCTTAAATGCTTTTTCCATTTTCTGTAAATGTTTCAGAACTACATGTACTGTGCCTCTAATAGATTACATAGATGGGAATGATTATTCCATTGAACCACAGCAAGGTGGGGATGAAGATGGTTTTGCCAGAGGGGCCTGGGACTGGAGTTTACTATGGAAACGTATTCCTCTAAGCCACAAGGAAAAGGCCAAAAGAAAACATAAAACTGAACCTTATCGGTAAAGATTACTCCTTTATTTTCTTATGTGGAATGTTTATCTAAGTCCTTTTTTGTTTTTCCTTCCCCATGTACTCATGTATATATATGTGGGTCCATGCATACCCTTCCATTTCATCTTTGCTGCTATCATCAACAAAATACAGAACCACTTGCACTGTGCCGATTATAGATGTCATAAATGGCAACACATACAAAATTGTGCCCCAAGGGGGTGGTGACGAAGATGGGTATGCCCGAGGAGCATGGGATTGGAGTATGCTCTGGAAACGGGTGCCTCTGACCCCTCAAGAGAAGAGAATCAGAAAGACAAAAACTGAACCATATCGGTAATCACTAAATCACTTACATATGTTCTTTTCTCCATTTGCTGCTAACCTATTAACCTCTTGCCAAGCTATAACATTTTTTATTAAAACTGTAGGTGCTGTATTAGATTCTGAAGACTAATTTCCCCGCACTATTTCACATGTTTAAATTCACATTCCCTTCTTTATAATTGCTTTTTCCCTAAATGCAGGTGCCACTTTTTTGGGGGGGAGGGAGAGATGTAAGGGGGGCATTTTAATGCATTAGTTCCAAATTCAATCAAAAAAGAAAAATCATCCTGTAAATTTACAATGCATAAATTATCCAGGTGCCTTAGATGTAATGTTAGCAATGAAAGCAATATCAAGAGATTTGGGGGTGTTTTGTTTATTCCTTCCTTTTGTTTTATATGCTAATTTTGTACCAGTTAAATCTGATGCATAAAAATACATGACTTTGGCAAATGTTGCATACACTCCTTTATTGTTTCCTTCTCAGAAGAGCACTTGATAAAAAGGAAACTGTATTCCAGAATCAGCCTTTGTCCTTCCCGTGACTCTTCTAATAGAACAATGTCCGCTCTTCTGTGCTTTTCGGGGTCTTTTATCAGCAACAGTTGACTGTGACTCCAAATGAACTGTTTAGTCAAATGTTAGTGTAGGCTTCTAAATGCGCCTAATTTTATTTTTCTGATCTTACAGTTCTGCTTTTGGTCTCTCTTTCCCTGTTATGCTACTGATAATATTAGAACTCTGTTTTGGGAAGATGTTTCCACTGTCATGCAAATGCTGGTGGGATTTGGGCATGTCACCATATCAAAATACTGAAATGGCAAACATAAAGAAATTATAGAACTTTAAGCTTTACTTAACATTTTCCAAATTTTTCTTTGAAGTTCTTTTTTAGAATAATTCAGGAATTTACTGCTTACCTGACTAATATAATCCTGGGAGAAAAAAATAAGGGCTAATGATTATGTTTATTTCTGACAATTCCATAGACTAGTCAAAAAAAATTCTTTAAGTGGGTTAGAAAAATTTAAGGGAGGTCTCCCTGGAAAGAACTCACTGGTTTTTATGTTAAGATGCATTTTCAAATATATGCTGAGATAAGTGGGAATATATTTAAAGATCTAAAAGGCAGAGTTATAGTAGAGTAATTTTAAATGACAGTTAAATAAATGTGACATGAAAATGTAACCAAAAATGTAATAGTGCTAATATTTAGTGAGTTAGGCAGTATACTCTAAGAAGAAAGGTTGTGACAGAATAACGTTGCCCCAATGGGATTTTTCTTTAATATTGAAAATATTACTTGATTCATTATTTATCCACTCGACAAATATTTAATGAGCACTTACTGTGGGCCAGGCACTATTTTCTGGGAATAAATTTTTAAAAGATAGGTTCTCTTGTTTCACTTACATAGCTGGTGAGACAGAAATTAAACAGAAAACTACACATAAAACCCTGGAACAGAGTTGATGGAAAGGATAACCTCATTCAGCCTGGAGGGCCCGAATGGCCTCTTGACAAAGTGTCACCGGAGCTGAGACCTGAAGGTTGAAGGATCAACCCTATGGAGGAGGGAAACATTCCGGGCTTGTGAACAGCACAGGTGAAGGCCCTGAGTCAGAAGAGAGTTTGGCAAGTTGAAGGCACGAGCCCAGCAGGGAAGAGGAACTCAGGACGGGGAGCCAGCAGAGTCTGAGAGTGGAGAGAGCTGGCATGTGGGACCCCTGTTGAATCCCTTCTGCCTGTGGGCAGGGGCAGAAGAGAATAAAAGACACAAGTTACACAGTTAATGCAACAGTCCTAGCACTGGTGGCGTGGTCCAGGAAGGGAGCAGTGAAGTTGGAAAGAAGTAGATTCAAAATATGTTTTCAAGGTAGAATTAATAGGAACAAGTGGTAGATTAAATATTAGGTGTGGTGATTTTTTATTTTTTATTTTTTAAATATATTTTATTGATTTTTTTACAGAGAGGAAGGGAGAGAGATAGAGAGCTAGAAACGTCGATGAGAGAGAAACATCGACCGGCTGCCTCTTGCACACCCCCTACCAGGGATGTGCCGCAACCAACGTACATGCCCTTGACCGGAATCGAACCCGGGACCTTTCAGTCTGCAGACCGACGCTCTACCACTGAGCCAAACCGGTTTCGGCGGGTGTGGTGATTTTTAAAAAAGACACTTTATTAGAGGCATCTCAAGAATCATGATACGTTAATTATTTGTGGTGGGAGATATAGGCAACAGGATATAAATCAGGCCCATATCTCATCTAATGATTGAGTGGCTTGTCCCTAAAAAGCTACCCAATGGTTTTTATCTTGTCCCTAAAAAATTCCAAATTCACGAGGCCGCACGGATCGCCCTTCTGAAGTCCTACCCCCGGCACAGTAAATGGCTATGTCTAATTCTTCTGTGTCGTTTCTGCCCTGCATTTGCAAACTCTGAATGAACTGTGACTGTTCTAAGATGAATTACACCCTTATTTGGCAAGCCCCCGAGCTATAAAATTAAAAAACGACACACTGCTTCCATGGTGTATGGTTCTGCTCATCCCGTAATGACTCATGAATCATTGCAGGAGCAGTTAGCAGACCAGGGCTGTATGGCTCAGTATTTTTAGGAGTGAAAGAGAAAATGCGACTTCTACTAAATCTAAAGGCTTAATTTTTAAATTAACACAGGAACCAAGGCTCCATCTAATGGTGAAATGATGCAATACTCTAATTTGCAATGAACTATATGATTCTATTTCCATTAGAAATTTCAGTAAATTCATTGAGGAATTATGAACAGATCATTTCACAAGGTTTTAAAATTTCTTAATGTTTAGCCATCAGTTTTATCTCTTCTGTGCATTATCTCGATTGTATTCCAAAAGGGTGTGTTGTCTATTGGTGAAGGGACTTATCCTTAATAGTTATTCAGCTGTTTCTTTTCCTCAGGTCCCCAGCCATGGCTGGTGGGTTATTTGCCATTGAACGAGAATTCTTCTTTGAACTGGGTCTGTATGATCCTGGTCTCCAAATCTGGGGTGGTGAAAACTTTGAGATCTCGTACAAGGTAACCATGCATTTAAACAAATGGCGTTTTCTCAGTAGTGACTGACTTTTGTGACTTTCAGGTAAAGGCTGGGTTCTTTGAAGGGGGGAGGACGACAAAACACTGTTCAATGCATTTCTTTAAATTATAAGGAATAACTAGCAAAATGTATGCCTTTGGAGGAAAGTAGACAAAATACTTACATGGCTCGTCTGAAAAATGGGGCCAGGAGGCTTCAGAAATAAAAACACCTCCTCCTCCCCCGCACCCAAAGCTTTCTGGACTTTGGAGCCTTTTGCTGTAGAAGCCCTTTGGGGAGTCTGCATGTGTTGGGGCCACATCTGACCGTCCACTGACACAGTTGCCCTTTATTACTGTAGGACATGACTCAGGACAGAGGCAGAACCCAACGACGGCTGTGTGTCCTCAGTGACAGTGCAGCTGCCTTCCTGCAGCACCCCGCACTGGGCCAGGCCTGGCGCACTAAGGCCTTCCATGCTCCAACACAACCTCATTTCCCCAAAGAGGGAAACAGAGCTGTATCCCAGTGTGAGTTAAGCAAACATGCACTGCCTCATGTCTTAAATGTCTAGTGCCTAGCACTGTGAGGAAGAAGAAGAATAACTCAGTCTTTGCTCTCAAGGAACTTACAGTCAGTAAGAGATTAGAATTACAGTAGGTCCTTGGGTTTCGTCAGAGATCTGTTCCTATGACAATGTAACTCGATTTTTGCTGTAAGTTGGAACCCACCTACATAAGCACCTTTGTCACGCACATGGAGCACATACACAGCAGTAATGAACAATTAAAAAAAAAATTAAAAGAAAGATAACAATTCCTGACCTTTACTTGTGGTAAATAATAAAAATCATAAAGCACATATGTACATACATCAAAATGACGGAATATATTTTTTATAATAAATGGGAGATGGTGAGATAACCCAAGGACTGCCTGTATACTTAACTTCATAATATGGTAAGAAGGTAGAATGCCATTTGGTTGGTGTGATTAAGAAACAGCATCTCGCTGGAGGAAGAATTTGAGGCAGAACAAGAAAGATGGATATGATATCAATAAGTAGAGGTAAAGGTGTTACTGGCAGTGTTGCCTCTCAATTCTTGAGTTTGGCAAAGAAAGAATTCAGAGCCAAGAACTCTATAGCATTGTGGAATTTTATTTAGCATGTAAATCAAAGTATACTCCAAGAAAATTGAGTGGCTGCTCAGAGAGCTGCCTTAGCCTTTTGGAAAGTCACAGAGGCAGCAGAAGTGAGCCAGCTGGGCTGCGTGGGCTCAGGAAACAAGTTACAGAGGCAAAAGAAAGGCCTTTGAGACAGATTCACCGACCCGGCTAGCCCAGATCAAACTGCCGCTGCCCACTGCTCTCCTGGTTGCAAGCCTCATGGGAACCCTTAAGAGCTTTGGAGAGAGAAAGCAGATATACATGCCTGAAGAAAGAAGGTGTGTGTGTGTGTGTGTGTGTGTGTGTGTGTGCTCTTGAGAGCACATACTGGGTCCTTTGTCTTAGGTGTCTCTATATGTTTTCTAAAGCAGGAATTTTAAGGGAAGTCTTGCGGGAAGGATCTCAATAGAATATTCATCAGCTTTCCAGGTGTGTTCTTTAATATGCTGATCCATCAACATGAGCATACAGGGTCAGGATCGTGGTCTGTATTAATTGGTCCATGCTAGGTTAGGGGTCACTGGTCATTGCATCTGGTCCTGATGCCAATCATGACATTTCTTCATCTGGTTTTACTGCTTTTCTGGGCCTGGAGCTGAAACACAGTTGAGGCCTGTTTCTGTGGTCAACAAACCTGAGGCTTTGTTCGTAACATTATGCACATTATTCGATGCTGATCAGAAACTCACTGTCCTGAGGGCTTAATGCTTAAGGGAGTGGTCATGCCAGGGAGGACGCGGGAAAATCAGGCTGCTGGATGAGGCCAGTTTGAATCAGCTGTCTATTTCAGTTTACCCATTCTACCTGCCAAGGAATTTTTCTGGCTTCTCACTTGCCTCAAAGGAAAGGGAGGAGGACTTCTAAGCAAATAGAATAGGAAGAGGTATAAAGGTGAAACGAAGAATGTATTCAGGAACCTGAGGAGAACAGTTTAGCAGAATCTGGCAGTCTGAATAAGACAGACATCCAAGAAGGTAAAGTGGATGTGTACGTTAGGACCATATTGAAGAGAGTCTTTCATGCTGAGCGAAGAGATTTTTATTTAATTTAATAAGCAATGGAAACCCATTGAAGATATTAAGCAAAGGAATAACATGACCCAAACTGCCCTTCAACTAGAATAATCTCTTGCTATAAATAAGGATAGCATTGAAGAGAGAGAAGTTAGAGGTGAAGAAGCCAGGCAGGAGATTATTATAATCACCCAGGTGGGAAATATATTAGCAATGGAAATGATGAGTGCTGTTAGGAATGGAGAATCTGCATGGTTTGGCAAGGTTACTCTGCGAAAAGGTTGCTTGGAGCTACAAGTACCTAGGAAAAGGCCCCTTAGCAGCAGTATATTACTGCTTTCCTACTGCCTCCTTTGTTATTATGTGAGTTTGGAAAACAGGCAAGTTATTTTAAGATTTGTTTAGTTTACAAATTCCCTGTGGACACTGTATCTAATTAAGATTTCAGATTTACAGTTACAAGACAAATTTTTAGCCATAATTTATTTTGGCGTTTGAAACAACTTCCACATGTTTTTTCTTGATAGATATGGCAGTGTGGCGGCAAATTACTGTTTACCCCTTGTTCTCGTGTGGGACATATCTACCGTCTTGAGGGCTGGCAAGGGAATCCTCCGCCCATTAATGTTGGGTCTTCTCCAACTATGAAGGTGAGTCTTCTGGCTGAAAGCGGAGAAGGTGAGGGAACTAACATTTATGTACCACGTGCTGTGGTACTCAGAGTACATGGCGGAGTACAGGACAATCTCTTAAGCAATCAAACTGGTCCTCGCTTTTACCCTAGGCTAGACTTACTTATGAAATATCTTATTGTTCTTTGAAATTATTCATTATATCCCATTCATGAATGTTCTCCATAAAGACATCGTAAATAAATTCCAAAGGACTGACACTCTATAGGAAAGGAACATAGTGGAAATGAAAATACCAACTTCTATTAGTCACAAATGAGGAAAATACTATTTTATTTAATATATATATCAAAATGACAGCCATATCCCACAAGGCCTAATTTCACAGTAGCATGTGAAATTTTTAAAATTTTGCCGAGACCGGTTTGGCTCAATGGATAGAGCGTCGGCTTGGGGACTGAAGGGTCCCGGGTTCGATTCCGGTCAAGGGCATGTACCTTGGTTGTGGGCATATCTCCGGTGAGGGATGTGCAAGAGGCAGCTGATTGATGACTCTCTCTCATCGATGTTTCTAACTCTCTGTCTCTCCCTTCCTCTCTGTAAAAAATCAATAAAATATTTAAAAAAAATAAATAAAATAAAATAAAATTTAAATTAATTTTAAAAATTATGAGTTTTTCTAGTAAACAAAATAAAATTTTGAGTAGTGCTTATGAAAGATTAATATCTTTTGTCCCTCAGAGCAGGACAAACCAGGGAAGCTCCATACAGAGGCCAAATGTTCCATTGCTAGGATAACAGCCTCTGTTGAAAGTCTTGTTGAGCTGCTGTCATAAGTTCTAAGAGCCCGCTGATGGCTTTCATTTTCTGGAGTCCTTAACCAAGTCAAGAGCACTCTACAAATTAATTGTATCTTGTTCATAAGTGTCATGTTCGGCATATTATTAGAGAATGCCCCAAATATGCCAAACACTTTCTTTTCTCCAGTTTTAGCACCATACACGTCAACCACCAGGGTGCCTACCAATGGTTTTTGTGGATTTATCTAGCCCATTTGTTTTTCAGCTTCAGATATTTATAATTAATTGTCTTCTTAGAATTATCCTCTTAGATATTTCAAACTCAGCATAGTCAAACTATTTCTCAAAAATGATTCCTTTTCCTGGTGTTCTCTATTTGCCCATGAATAAAACTTGGGGGGCATGTTAGGGTTGTCCAACTCACTTGACCCTTTGCAACAGTTTGCTGATGCTGCCAGAGAAGACCAAGAGACTAGATTGAGTGTGTACTAAATCTGTCCCATGTATTCATGCCTACATGCAGCATTCCCTAAAACCTTAGAAGTTAGGTCTTTGTCAGTTATCACAATGCCAACTGATTTTTATTGTTCATTACTTACTTTTTCTTAAAGTGCACCAGTGGGGAAAATACCCAGGTAATTCTGGGTTATGGTAAAAATGGTCCTTCTATAGTTGTTGAGATGTGTTTTATTAAAGCTATTGTTTTTCATGATGGTTTCTGAAATGGGATTTTTTTCTTACAAAAATTTGTTTTTATTAAACAAAACTATTGTTTTTCATCATGTATGAAATGGTATGGAGATAATTCTGGGAGGAGCATCAGTGTCTGGCCAGCCTCTCATAAACCCCCTCTAGGTAGCAAATTCTTCTTCTAGAAGCAGGACAGAATATATTCTCTTAGAATAGATATCTCTTGCAGCTAAGAGTTTATGTCCATCACTTTTTAGTTAAACAAAAGTGATGATTTTATCCTTGGCAATTGACATATTAGAGTCATTAGCTCAGTTGCATTTTTGTTTAAATATTAGGTCTTATTGAAATAAGTGTGTTATATGTTGGTCCTATTTCAGGTGTCTAAGATAAGCTGTTTATGATATTACAAATATTTTTGTTAAAATGGTATTAATTTTTTCCTCCACAGAATTATGTTAGAGTTGTTGAGGTCTGGTGGGATGAATATAAAGACTACTTCTATGCCAGTCGTCCTGAATCCAAGGCGTTAGCATATGGGGATATCTCTGAGCTAAAAAAATTTCGAGAAGATCACAACTGCAAAAGTTTCAAATGGTTCATGGAAGAGATTGCTTATGATATCACCTCACACTACCCTTTGCCACCCAAAAACATTGAGTGGGGAGAAGTAAGTATCAGTGATATTCAGATATTAAAGTGCATTGTTTGGAGATGAGTTTGGGAGAACGCAGAGAGAGGTGAAATGTACGAGGGAGAAGAATCTTGAGGGAAAGTTTGGGTACATCTGTCCGGTCCCTCCCCCTCCTTCCCAGTTACAACCACCCTGAGCAGCTATGAGTCCTCTGCTCTCTGCACATATGGCTCCTCTAGTCCTGACCACTGTCCACTCTTGCCTGCCACTTCTCTACCCCTCAGTCTGACTCCCTTTCTTGGCTAATTCCAACTTATTATTACTGCTTTCAATGTAGGGTTGGGTAACTTTAGTTGCTTATTCATGTGAATTATCTGAGTCTTAGACTGTACTTAATAGTTACTATCGTTCTTTTTCTTCCGTGGTATTTTATCAAAATCTATAGGCCAATGCCCTTCCTGAGAATGAGCGCATTCTAATATTGAGTTAAAGACCCTCAATTATTTCAAAGATGACTACTATACTCTAAGCTATTCCAGGACTAACAATAAATACAGTAATAACCTGGCATTACACATACCCATATGTCCACTATGAACCGTAATCTTTAACATGAAACTCTTTTACGCTGATGTTAGGTCATAATAAAAACTAAATGGTTGCCTGCTATTGGTTCTTTGTTCCTTGTCTTTAGATCAGAGGCTTTGAATCTGCTTACTGCATCGATAGCATGGGAAGGACGAATGGAGGCTTTGTTGAACTAGGACCCTGCCACAGGATGGGAGGGAACCAGGTAAATCACCTCCTTTCTTATTTAAGTTGGTTCTGCAGTGAGAGCTGCCGGCTTGTTGATCTTGGGAATTCCTTTGGTTTTCAATTTGGTAATTTTCTTTGTTTGGTAAAGTAAGCCATTCTGTAAAAAACAAAACAAAAAACTGAGCTAAAACTTTTAGTTACATGAGGGTATAATAATAACAGCACTGCTTTTCAACATAAGCAATCGCAATCTAGAACTTAATATAAGACATTCTGTCCTATATATTAAAAGGCTCGTATGCAAATCGTATGCAAATAGACTGAACAGTGGGACAAACGGTTGCTATGATTGCACATTGACACCCGGAGGCAGACGCTCAATGCAGGGGCTGCCCCCTGGTGGCCAGTGTGCTCCCACAGGGGGAGTTGCCACTCAGCCAGGACCGGGGCTCACACCACGAGCGCAGCCGCAATGGCGGGAGCCTCTCCCCGCTCTGAGGCAGCACTAAGAACATCCGACTGACAGAGAGGCACCATCTCTAGTTAGAATGTATTCTTGTGTGAGTCTATAACTATGCAAGCCTTGCTCCCTAACAATTGGATTTGTAAATATTATCCAGAATTCCACATTTCTTCCCAATAAGCTGGAATGTTACAGCCAGTAATGTATATTCCCCTAATACATTTTCCTAATTCCTTATATAGTTTTCTTGCCTCCAATTTAGATTGTAAGACAACAGATCTGTTTTCACTTGTATTTTCTCACATTGTTGGTACGTGATAAATATGTGTTAATGATCCTTCTGTATCTAAGAGGGTAAAGAACATAATCCTTCCAGTGTTAGTTCATTAACATCAAAATGAAAACAATTCTGGTCTTCGGATATACAGTTCTGAACATACAAAAATATTATAGAAAAATAAGGTAGCCATTGAGTTAGTTTTCGTGTATCAGCAGAGAGGGTGCCTGTGTTGTTTTCTTATTTCTTTTCTTTTTTTTTATTAGCTTTTCCGAATCAATGAAGCAAATCAACTCATGCAGTATGACCAGTGTTTGACAAAGGGGCCTGATGGATCAAAAATCATGATTACACACTGCAACCTGAATGAATATAAGGAATGGCAGTACTTCAAGGTATTCTGCACTTCAACTTCCCAAATAATAATTACATGCTATTTCATTTTAATAACACCTACCTTGTGGAATTTAAATGTATAAATCTTAAAACCTCAAATTGACTTGCATTTCCCTCTCATTTAATCATTTGTTTTCCTGAGTACTCATGACTCCATAATGAAACATCATTTTTATCCTCTGGTACAGTACTGTCGTGTAACGAGGTCATGAGATATCCACAAAGGCCCGCTAATGTTAGTAACCCGGGAAAATCAGTGTTCTGTGAGGGCAAATATATGTAACAAAAAATACTGTGTTTATATTTCATGTTGTCCAGAAGGTGGCGCTGGAGACGGACAAATAACACTTGAAAATCTAGGCCTTCACTACTTATCATTGTTTTATAGATACAATTGTTAGATAAATGTTGCCTGTTTCTTGCTTTAAAGGTCATATTTATTTGCTACTGTGGGAAGGAACAGTTTTCTATTTTAGCTCTTTAACTATTCGAGAGTTTTGTGCCAAGTTGAGGATTCCATCATGTTGATGGATTTATGTAGAATTTTTAAAGTATGCACTTGGCTAAAATAAATATATTGTAAAACAAAGTTCGGAAAGCTGCCCCAATCTGAAATAACTTGGCAACCTCAACTTTATTTACTCATTTAATATGTTATCATACCCTGACTGTCATGCAAGCATTTGTTTGCTATGTTGGTATGTATTATGACCTAGCTTAATATTTCCTGTCATCAATATTCATAGGTAATTACTGTAAAATGGTGAGTGTGTCAATTGCTGATTTTTTTATAACAAGTTAGGAAGAAGATCAGCATAAATTTTGAAGAACAGAGCATTTATTTCCACAAAGAAATTAATAATAGCAATAAGTGAGAACAATATTAGTAAAATAGTAAAAGAAGACTGAGAGATCAGAAATTACCATTGAGAAGTAATAGATAAAAAAATGGAATGTGCATATTTTATACGTTTTAAAGGGCACAGCACTAAATATACATTTGTGCATCAGATTTACTAAACATACAGGTGGGCAAAAGTAGGCTTATAGTTGTGAGTACATGAAAGAATTTATTCTTATATTATTATTATTTCTAATATTATTGTTGATTTTATTATTTCATATCCTTACTTATAATTTATCTTTTAGGTAATGGTGGCGGATAATTTAACTAATGACCAATGAAAGTGGATAGTTAAACCTACTTTTGCCTACCCCTGAATACTGGGGCCCAATGAGGTAGTGACTTCAAAAACTAAGCACATAATACTACAATAGCAGAAAAGGGGGGAGGAAGGTAGAAATTAAAATAAACACAATGCCATAAGACGGCAGAAGAGAGATTAATAGGAATTATTTCTGATGAGTTTCATAGAGGAAGTATCATTGTACCAGTATCACTGAAGTATAGAGAGACTTCTTGTGGAAAGTAAGTAAGACAAACAGGCGAGCAAAGGCATGGCATGAAGGTGTAGAGAGAAAAATGCTAGGAATCATGTTTAGAATTGCCCTCCCTATGACAGAACATTGAACTTCGCTTTGTAAGTTTAGGAGAGTAGTTGGCATTATTTGAGGAATGCAGTGATAGGAAACAATGGATACTTTTAGGAAAATAATTACGGAAACATTGTGAAATATGAATTGAAAAGCTTTGTTAGAAGTTCTCAAATGTATCTGTCTCTGGATTCCCTTTACACTCTTAAAAATTATTGAGGCTCTTCTCCGACAGATTATGTTTATGTAAATTATAGCTAACAAAATATCCAAAATTGGAAATTAATCCAATAAATTTTACAGGTATTTATGTATTCACTTATAATTAATATAAAACTAATACTAGCCCTATTGTATATTAATATAAATAATACTTTTAATGAATAATAATTTTTTAAGTGAAAAAAACATTATTTTATAGTTTTGCAAATCCCTTTAATATCTGGCTTACTAGAAGGCAGCTAAATTCTCATACTACTTCTACATTCCATTTGAATTATATTTTGAGGAAAATCCAGCCTCGCATAAACATGCAGTTGGAAAAGAGGAATAATTTAATAGCACTTTCAGATAACTTGGCTATTCTTTGATGCTACTACACAAGACTATAAGTGATCGTTTCTTGTTATTGGTCATGTAAAATCTGAAACCATACAAGTGAACACTGTTCTATGTTAAAATCCATTGGTCTTTGAGTGGATTTTTTACCCATGTCAGCTTTTGTAACATCATGCATTGCTCATTTAGAAAATCATGGTTCACTAAGTTATAATCTTGCAAATGGTGACAAATTTCATTGTGCAATGTCAAAAATACACATATTAGGAAGCTATCATGTTCACGGTGGTGGTTGCCAGTTTTAAAAAATTCTTAATTTTTGCTTGAAAACTCAACTTATATCAATGGCAACAAATACTGTCAGATTTATGGATTTATTTTTTGTGATTGTTGTTTTTCTTCTTGAAGGAAAAGGCTCACTTCCTTTTCATGAAAATGTCTACAAAGTTTGAATAATTGTAGTTTGTCTGTGAGTTGACCTTTCTAGTCAAAATGACAAATCATGGCCCTAACTGGTTTGGCTCAGTGGATAGAGTGGCCTGCGGACTGAGAGGTCCCAGGTTCGGTTCCAATCAAGGGCATATACCTTGCTTGCTGGAATATCCGCAGTAGAGGGTGTATGGGAGCTCATCACTGTTTGTCTTTCATTGATGTTTCTAACTCTCTATCCTTCTCCCTTCCTCTCTGTAAAAAATCAATAAAATCTTATCTAATAAAAGAGAAACATGCAAATTGTACCTTCTATACGCCCACAAGCCAATCAGGGCAAGTATGCAAATTAATCCAAGATGGTGGTTAATTTGCGTATTTGGCTTACAGCAAAGACTGAAGACAGTGTAGAAAGAAGCCAAGTGCTGCAGAAGGTAGCGAAGCTGCAGAGAAGCAAGCAAGTGGGACAAAGGAGAAGGGAGGGATGCAGGTGGGGCAGCGGAGATGACAGCAAGGAAGCCCTATTGCAGGAATCTTCCTGCAACAGGCCTCTAGTATACTTTAGAAAATAAAAAATAAATAAATAAAAAATGACAAATCATGAAAAAAGCAGCTAGTTGAACACTCAAGTCAAACAGTTGCATATGTACTTTCCTCAAGATAACTGTGGTAATCACTATACAGAAGTGCCATGCATATTTTCCATTTCATCTTATAGAATCTTTTAAAAATTATACCCAAGGCTCAAGATTTAGTAAAACTAGTAAGTTTTACTGCTTCATCAAGGACATTCTTAAGTGAAACTGGCATTTCCTTTTTTAACTATTAGAATGTGACTATTAGCAGTTTTGTGACACTGCTTAATTTATGCTGAAGCACCAGCACTTTTACCCACCATTGCTTTTGCACTGTCAGATAAATGTCAATACGAGGAAAAAAGGCAAATGGGGTCTTTGTATTATTATGAAAATAGTTTTGACCTTACAGATACCATCTTAGATAGTCTGAGGACCACCCTGTAAGAAACCCTGAACTATGTGAAGAAACCTACAACAGATGAGGGCTAAACTAAGACATTGCAATGGAGATAGGAAAGGGTACATGCCAGTGAGATTGCAAATATCATACCTTGTGACTGCTCAAAGGAGGGAGAGAAAGAGGAAGTGAGGAAGGGAAGGAAGGTACAACATGAATGCCTCTATCATGAGGATTGTAAAGCTGATATTGTCCTTAGAATAGGAACTAGAAAAATAGATTTGGAGGGGGAGATAACGAATTTAGGTTTGTGTGCACTGAACTTGCGGTACCAGCAGTACATTATAAGTCTTTATATAAACAATAAAAGTACTTAGAAGACTGACTATTAGAAAAATTTGAAGTCTGATATATGGTTGGTTGGTTGAAGCCTGTCCATCTTGCTTGAATTATCTATTTTTTTTTCTCCAAAACATTTTTTTCAAGTACAGTTGACATTCAATATTATATTAGTTTTAGGTGAATAGCATAATGGTTAATCCCAATAAGTCTAGTACCCAGCTGACACCAAACATAGTTATTACAGTATTATATTTCCTATGCTATACTTTATATCCTTGTGACTATTTTGTAATGGAACAGAATAGAGAACCCAGAAATGTATCTATGCCTATTTGGTTAATTAATCTATGACAGAGGAGACAAGAATATACAATAGGGTAAAGACAGTCTCTTCAATAAACAGTGATGGAAAAACTGCATAGATACATGCAAAAAATGAAACTAGATCACTCTTCTACACCATATATTAAGAATAAACTCAACTTGGATTAAAAGGTTAAAATATAAGACTCAAAACCATAAAACTCCTAGAAGAAAGCATAGGAACTAAACTCTCTGACATGCTCTTCTGAATGTTTTTTTGGATATGTCTCCTCCAGCAAGGGAAACAAAAGAAAAAATAAACAAATGGGACTACATCAAACTAAAAGGTTTTTGCACAGCAAAGGAAACCATCAACAAAACGTCAAGACAGCCTACTTACTGATTTGAATTTACTTCCATATGAAAGCCAAATAAGGACTTCTTCTAATGTCAGTAATATCAAAAAAGTACAAATTTAAAACTCTTTTTTCTGTGTTTTCCAGAACCTGCACAGGTTTACTCACATTCCTTCTGGCAAGTGCTTAGACCGCTCGGATGTCCTCCATCAAGTGTTCCTCTCCAATTGTGACTCCAGTAAAATGACTCAGAAGTGGGAAATGAATAACATCCATAGTGTTTAAAAAGAATAAAAGAAACCAATAACCTACCTACTGACACACAAATTTTCACAGGACTGAAAACCGCCTGAAACCTGCTGCAACTATTAATAACTCTGTACAGCTCCAAACCCAGCACCTCCTGATCGGTTTGAAGGACATTGATAAACTGTGATTTTACAATAACATTGTCATCTGCAGTTACTGTTTACAAAACTGCTTTTACCTTAAACTTTATAGATGTTTACATCTTTTTGTTTTGTTTTGTTTTAAGATGATGTTGGTAATTTGTGCATTTATATCTGTTCAGAACAGAGCTAAAAGCACCGTTGTCTTCTTTGGGATTACACTCAGGGGTCTGACAGGCAGTTTGATTTTTTATTTTTTTTTTAACACACTTGAAAAAGGTTGAAGTAACCAGACTTTCATATATAACTTGGTAATTATCAACCTGTTGTGTCTTTATTTAATTTTACATCTTTTTGAAGCACTGCCACAGGTTATTAGCCAAGGTGGCCTTCCTTCACAGTCATGCTGCTTTTTTGAAAGGTGAATTTCAACACATTTAGTGCCTCTTTCATTTTCTCAGTATATATTTCAAGAGCTTTCAGAGATATATAGGATGGTAATGACGGAATGGTCACCAGTAAATACTTTTACTACCAAGAAATGAATTTATGTGCTACCATTTGCTCTGAGATCGAATGTTGTATGGCTTGAAAGAAATAACAACATGAAATCCCAAAGAATTCTCATAGGAATTGAAGATTGTGTGGCATTAAGTTCCCTACTTGCTGGCATTCCCACTGCCCCCTGTTAATACCAACTCCTAAACAGCAGAAGGGCCTGCCAACTAGAGAAAATTTGACCATTGACTTCTGGAATTTACTTTCCCCCAATACCTGTCATTTTAGAAAACTATAATTCTCAGTTTCAAATCTTAAAATGGGGTGGGGGGAGGTAACAAAAACAACAAAACACTGCTGTAAACAAACATCAAAGGTTCATTCTAAAGAAAGAATTTTCAAGACCTTGTTAAATTAAGCCTTACAAAGCTCCTGTGCATTATAACCTAAGCTGTGCAACCTTTCAAGCCAAGAGTGAATGGATGTTTTATTTATATCTCCATCCAAATGAAATTCCCTGCACATTTTTTAAAAATTTTTAAAGGCTATTTAAAAATACAGTTCATTAACAAATATAAACTCCTTTCTGTTAGATTAAGTGTTAGTTCCCTAATCTTTATTTTTTTATTTTCCCCCTTAATCTTTATTAATTTTTTTAGGAAATATATTTCTATTAGTATTTTTCCAGTAAAAAGAAGACTTGTTTGGATTTAAACATTTACTAAGACAGTATAGGAAAACCAAATACTGGAGATGATTGGTTAGGTTTTTATTTCTAACAAAATACTTTTCTTACTCAAAATATTAAAATGCTATATTAATAAGCCTCACCAGCATGACTCAGTGGTTGAGCATTGACCTCTGAAGCAGGATGTCCCAGTTCCATTCCTGGTCAGGGCACAAGGTTGCAGGCTTGATCCCCAGTAGTGGGTGGGCAGGAGACAGCCAATTAATGATTCTCATCATTGATGTTTCTCTCTGAAATCAGTAAAAAATATTTTTTAAAAAATAATGAAATGCTATGTTAAGTGGTGGGCAAATAACATGGGTAGGGAAATGGCAAATAAATTAAGCATTTTTGATCCTGTAATCATGATATCATTACAATGAAAGTAACTCACAAATTACTGCCAGAGGGAAATATTTTTAATTAAAGCTCAAAAAAGAAAAGGAAAAAAAAAAAAAAAAAGCCTACATTTTTTTAAAAGAAAAGTCTACAAATCTGTTTCTTCCAAGGCTAATCCTTAAATTTGGACAGTGAGTTAAACATCCTAAACAGAATTTTATTTATAATTTTGAACTATTTGTATTTTGCTACTGATCTATAATCAACCATTTAACTTTCATTCATCTCTAGAAATGTTTAAAAAGGAGTAAATTTATATGCTTAAATAATTGCAAAATAAATCAACTATAAGAAAGAGAATTGGTACTTTAATTACTTGTATGTTTGCAAATAGGTTCCATTTTTCTTGTCGAATAAATTATAACCTTAACTATGCATAGGCCTAAGAAAGGTGGCACATTATCTGTGCATGTAAATTTTAAATAGATATTTTGTGCAATTCGTTAAGATAACCTATGAAAATGATCCTCTATATTGAAATCAGAAACCTTACCAAACACACACACACACAAAAAAAAACACATCAGAAGCTGCTGCCATAATGACTATTTTCTACTGTAGACTGCTTTGGAAATAATTCCCATATCCTTGCTTTGTAAGTTGATAATATCACTATGCATTTCTACACATTTTATAAATTTGATTTGTGCAGATTTTGATACACTGTATGTTTCTGTAGAAATTGTATAAATATTCAGAATTTTATTAGGGATAAATTTGAGAAGTTTATGTATATCTTAATTCTGGGTTGCTTGTTTTTTTAGATGAGAAAAAATAAAATACTGTATTTTAATTCATGGGTTTTTTGTTGTTGTTCTTCAGTAGTTCTAATCGTTTCTAAATCTATTCACCGCACATTTGAAGTAATAACTGGATTGTTCATAAGATAAACAAGTAGAATAGCTAAAGTATCATAAGCCATACGTATATATTGAGTTTGTTCTTGAGTTTGTGGTTAAGTTAGGGTGTGCTTAGGATACTCAGACCTTATCTACCAGTATGTGTAGAAAGGAAACAAAGGTTTATTTTTTGCCTCTGATTACCTATGTGTAGCATTTTTTTTTAAAGTCCCATATCCAATTATAAAAAAAAAAAACAACCCAGCAACATGCATCTTTTTTGACAGTATATTCTACAATATAATTGCCTATTTAAAGCAAAAATGTCTTTTAAGTCAAAATTCTCTACAACTGACTGAGTAGAAAGAAGGGAAGCCTACGAAAATGAAGTTAGACATAGGCCATAGGACCTTGTGGCACATCACATGGCATCTCAAGAAGATTGGCTACTAACATCCAAGTAAGTGGCCCTGTTGATTTGGGAAACTTGCTCAAAACTGACTTGGCTATTGTGTCTTCCAATTCTCAGCTCCTATGCCTAAAAAATATGAAAAACTGTTAGCTCCAGACTGGAGTAAATGTGGGCTCACATATTTCTTAAGATAGTGCCTCACAGGGATTTTGAAATAAATTTCATTTCTGGACAGAATGTAATTGGGGGGGGGGGGGGGGGAAATCCACTTACAATTCAATAGAAAATATGACAAGTACCTGACCTGAGCCAGATACCCAGCAGGCCAATAGTTTGTGCATATAAAACTTAATCCATTTAAAAACACTTTTAGAAAAAAAAAATTTAAAAATAAATAAATAAAAACACTTTTAGAAAGTATTGAGCATTATAAAAATGCATGTTATTCATTAGAATCAATCTGTTGCAAGAAAATGGACTAAAGTCAGAATGATTTGAGGGGATTGCTATCCCTAGAGATTAAAAGGAGGGACTATTTCTAAATTCAATAATTGCTTTGCGGTTTTCATTTTAAAAATTTTAAAATGCCCATAATTAAGGTTGCTGGATGTCTCTTTTCTAAGTGAATCAGGCCTGGTAACCACATTTGAACAGAGGTAGGATAAAGGGTTCTGCAATTTTCATAATGGAATGGTGTTTCAATTTGGTCATCTGAATAGTAGTATAGTATATGGACTTTATTGTAATCCCTACTCCCCTACAAATTACTAGTGTGATCTTGGATAAATTATTTAATCTCTATGCCTCAGTTTTCCCTTTTTAAGTGCTTATTTCATAAGATTGTTATTAGAATTTAATAAGTTAATATACATAAAGTACTTAGAATAATTCTTACATATATTCAGGGTAATATAAATGTTAGCTATTATTACCTCATTTCAAAGTTTTAAAATCTGTCAATATCAGATTTAAGACAGCTACACTGTATACCTTTTATAAGGCTGTGTGTGTGTGTGTGTACCTGTTCTTCGTATATGAGATATTATTATCCCTACTTTACAAGTGAAGAAATGAAGTTTAAAGTTAAGCTTCCTCTTAAACCAGGAGTGACCTAGTGTTCAATAAGGGAATAAACTGTTTAGATCACAATTCATATAGCATGTGTAGGATGTAATCTTCAGTGGTCCAATTTAACCCTTGGATAAAATTACTAGTAACTGCATCTTAAAGAACATATTCTTTAAATTATGAAATTTGTCCCTGGCTTTTGATATGAGCAAGTAAACTCTAGCTGTATTAACAAATAAATGCACAAAGCAAAACTAAAACTTTCAGTAAAATATAGAGATCAACAGCAGTCCATGTCTGACCATACATAGTAATGAATATTGGACATATACTCCTGTCCTAAACAACTATAAGACTGGACAAAATATATGGGGCAACTGTTCTCAGGGGTTATATAAGAGGCAAAGCCAACTGAGATACTTGAGACAGGAAGCACAGCAGGTGAATCCCAGGTTCACCATGTCTGTCTACCAAACATGGTACAGGAACATGGAGCTCAAACAGCGGTCATACAACTAAGGAGGCAAATTGTGAGTTTGGGGCCACAAAGACAGCTGGAATTTACAGGAGAGGTTACTGGAGAGGAGTGAACTTGACCACCAGGAGACCTGCACAGAAGTTTGTATAGCACTGCCATTTACAATAGCAAAAGCCCTAGGAACACCAGGGGAATGGACAAATTGTGATATAATCATACAATGGAATGTTACAAAGCAATGTACATGAATGAACTAGTCATCCTATATGATAAAACCTTAATATGCAAATCGACTGAATGGCAGAATGACCAGCAGTATGAACAGTTGCTATGATGTGCACTGACCACCAGGGGGCAGACGCTCAATGCAGGAGCTGCCCCCTGCTGGTCAGTGCACTCCCTCTTAGGAGCACTGCTCAGCCAGAAGCAAGGCTCAAAGCTGGCAAGCACAGCAATGGTGGCAGGAGCTTCTCCTGCCTCTGTTGCAGGCAGGCAGTAAGGTGCGAGGGATCCTGAACTGTGAGAGCTCTGGACTGCGAGAGGGATGTCTTACTGCCAGCTTAGGCCCGATACCCAAGGTGATTATGTTGGCAGGCGGACATACCCTGAGGGGTCCTGGACTGCAAGAGGGCACAGGCCTGGCTGAGAGACCCCCCCCCCCCAAGTGCACGAATTTCATGCACCAGGCCTCTAGTATATTAGTAAGTCATTAAGATACTGTTGAGGGACAAAGACAATTCCCAAAAGACTATTCAACACACACTTTTTGTAAAACCAAAAGCAACTAAAATTAAACATCCAGTCACACATTTATATGTGGTACAGAGGTTAAATAAACTTGTCCAAGCTTACAAATTTAGTATTGGAGCCAAAGTCATAACTCTAATGTTCTATGTCCTCAGAACCCTGTGGGATAAATTTCTATCAGTGTTTTCCATGTTAACTGCAGTTTTCCTCTCCACCTTGATTGTCAAGAATCTTAGAACTAAATCTAATATTCTTATCATAAAACTATATTAACCCATAAATATTGGTATGTATGTTTAAACTAATATTTATTGGCCATTTACTTTTTCTGGCCAACAGGACAAGTGTTTTAAATGCAATGCCTTATTTAATACTAATAAATAATAAATAAATAAATAAATAAATAAATAAAATTCTCATTTTATAGATGGGGACACTGAAAGGTTACATGACTTGTCTGATGTTACTGAACCAAAAAGAAACACAGCCCAACTCTGACCTAATTCCAGGTATAAGCTTTATTACTTTACTCTTAATTTCTTTCATAACCTTGTTTTTCCTTTTGTACATGTGTATTTTTTTTTTCTTTGTATAAGCAATCCCATCTTTTTTTTTTCTCTCCTTTTTTTCATTTTTTTTATTTTATGTGCCTCAGGCATGCAACAGCTCTGGCTACCGACAGAGGCATCAAGTTAGGATGAACTAACGACTGTATATCTACTTTTCCCCTGATTGATATAAGAGCAACACCACTAATGAGGTGTCTCCTTGCCCAATGCCAGGGGTAGCGATCCCATCTTGATTAGAAAAAAACGTGGAGAATCAAAAAATAGCACATAAATTTGAATGAATTAATATTTGACTATCT